CTTCCAATTATATTCTCAACAAATTCCTACATCGAAAAACGTACAAGATACCTTATGAATTATGAAAAGGTCACAAACTTAACTATAAATATTTAAAGGTATGGGGATGCTACACGAGGCCTTGTCGGTGACTACACGACAATCCTCGATCCTGCCGTACTTTAGAAACTCTTTAGCTAGCCTATCAAAGGTGGTCTCCTAACCGAACCCGTGTACGAAGATTTTACACTGTGCTGGGTCAACATCGGCCAACTTCCGCACCCTATTTGCCACGTCGAGGTGCTTCTCCGCCACCTCAGAGAATAATGTAATCAATGTTTCCTTGCTAAAGGACACCAAGAAGCTTTGTATTGGCTCATCATTGATATCATCAATGTTATCCAGATTCTCTCCATTATCATTATTACCATCTTCTTCTTCGAATTCTTTGTCTTCTTCTACTTCTTGGATTTCTTTGAATTCTTCCACCACCTCCTCAACTTCTTTAGGGTCTTCTCCAATAATTTTGTCTTCATCCTCAACTTGCTAAGTTGTAGGTTCTGATAATTATGAATGTACCAAGTAGAGCTTTAGATTCTTATCCATTTTACGAGAGGCCATTGGGCAGAGTTTGCTCTATGTGAGTATGGCCAAAGAGAAGCTGATAACAAAAGTACAAACTCACACAAACATTGATGAGGGTTTTACGGACCTTTACACCGATTGTTCCAACCATTATGATTCTTGTACATCAATGGTTAACATTTGACACCCTTCTATGTGTAGAAATTCTAACCATTGATTGAGAAAATTATAGTTAAAATCAATGTATAAAAATTTGCCAACTTACATGATTTCAAAAAATTGTCAAACTTGATGTTAATGTAGAATGATTGTCCTTCCAAACAGTGGTTTGTACAGACTTGCAATTCCGTTTAAAATTGAAGCAATGCAAAATTCATTATATTGCAAAAATTAATTCTTTCGACAAAATCCATTTTATGTTTGCAAGAAACGGTTCTTTTAACAAAATGAAATAGTTTATTACTTACAGAATTCGTTATTTCGTCAAAATCCATTTTTATAGCAACAAATAATTCTTCTTAAAAATCCATTATTTGGGAAAATTGCAGTTACGATACCAAACTTTTCATTTTGTCGCAGACTTGATTCAATCATTTCATTTGTGCCAACCATGGCACCAAACATTTCAAAAATTCTCACTTTTAATTGCACAACCACCATCGTAGAACCAATATCTCATCCACATCTATCATACCACAACCACCACATCCACCTCTTCTTCACATAGATCGCATAAAACATTATCACATATGCACAAAAACATTGCAGATCGCACTGTTGGATTAATTTTGTGGACTAACATAATCTAATGACAATTCACATTTAATCATGTGCATATGACATTTGGGCAATTTATGGGATGGACCACATTATATCACTAACCATGCCTTGGGCTCTTGGGTCCATTCTTCAATCATGCCCAAGCCCACCCATTGGGCTTGTGGCCCACTAGAAAAAA